TCCGTTCGTCGTGACGTGTCATGAACTCTTCAAATATCTTATCTCTCAAGTACGATGGACTATCAGGAAGAGATCGGACATGACTTCGTGAGTCCTGCCTCAAGGGAGGTCGAGGGTCACAGTGGTCCTGATTGATCGCTCCTGGAATCGCTCGTCACGTTTACTATACCGTCATCAGTCGCGTGCTGTCAAAGTACGAAGCTAAGGCTGATCGAAGTACTATGAGCCGGAATTTCTTTCTCAAGAGATTAAATCGATGTTGAATAAGATGCCACAAAATAATACCGATCATTACGATTTGTGATAAGAGTTTTGTAGAAATTTCTTTTGCGCTGAAGCCGCGAATAATCAGTAACCCTCATTCATAAATAATTATTAAAAATCTCCACGCAAACGCATCTTCTAACGAAAACGAGAACGTGTGCAATTCAATGTTACATTTTTTAAATAAAAAATACAATATTTAAAAAAAATGAAATTACGATATCTCTTGAAAAATTTCTTGAAAAATTAATTTCTAAAATAAAAAAGTTTTTTCTAAAACTATGGAAGCTAAAATCCGAAAAGAACTTCAAAATTGACAACTATTAATCCTCCAGCTTTTCTGAGGTTTCATTAGTACATCTATCATAAACGGTGCGTAATCTGACAAAAATGTGAAAACGCCTGTCACTCGTTCCAATCATTAGATTTTACGGATGTCGTAAAGTCGTAAAGTACCCGTTACATCGTTGATAACTTGTCGATATACTGGAACGTAAACAACCCGCGTTTTACTTCTATAGAAACACATCTGACTAAATTTTACAACTCACAACATCTCTCTCTCTCTCTCTCTCTCTCTCTCTCTCTCTCTCTCTCTCTCTCTCTCTTTCGCGCGAACGTACGAGTAGAAACTGTCGTGAGATAAAATAATCCGCGGGACCGGGTATACCGTATACCGTAAGAACAAAAGGAGAAACGATCGTTTCGATTACATCTGCGCGGCGCAAAAATGCGAGCGAGAAATCAAAACCGGTTGCTGCTCGTTCAGGTTCTCGCGCGCACGCTAATTCAACGCAAAACTCACCGCTATAATCGTCCTCGGTTTACAAATCGGCGAATTAATTTTTCACGCGGTTGATCGCGTCGATAATTGGTCAAACTCATGCGATCGTACGTAGGTCCGAGATTCCCAACGTAAACTAATAGCAGTGACCAGTTCGATTCACTTGCTCCTGCCGACCGATCATGCCGCGCTGATGTGTCCAATTTCGTGATATAATCTAATCGTTGACGTTAATCCGCGAAGCGTCGTCGTGTCGTTGAACCCGAACGACTATCTCTCGGCGTTGTTACGCGAGACGATACGCATTTGGCAGCGAAAAGCGAAAGCTCATCCACTCTTGGTTTCGTTGACCTCACCTTGATGCCACTTTCATTCATCGAAATATCCCGGAACTTTCGTTGCGACATTTCACTCGCACAATCACGCTATTTTTAAAACGTTCACAAAGCCTCATTGAACAACAAGGAGTGCTACTCCGTACGAAATTTCTTACGTGCGTTTCCTCTTGAACTTCATTATAAAATTAGGCATTAAAATCTCATGTAAGCCTCAACGCTAAATTGGCGTCGCCAATGAGAACTTTTGCCGTGACCTAGTCGCGCGAATATGCGTCCAGATCGAATTTCTCACGTGGTGATTCAACAAAAAAAGTGAAATAACAAAAAAAAAGAAATTGCGAAGCTCTTCCAGATCCCTTCCGCGTACGGCGAGACGCCGCGTTCGAATTTATCGCCGGTGTATTTCGACCACCCAGAGAAAACGAAGAGTCTGCCGAGCCACGACGCACAATCCCGAGACCGAGTTTCGTACACACTCACGCACACAACAGGGAAGAACCACCGTTCTATAGGTCAACCTAGAATAGAATCCAAGCAGCTGGTGTGGCCGCCCCGCGTATCACAGATTCTGCGTGAAGTCAGACACATAATGGATCAGACACCGGGAAACCGAGAAGTGTCGTGATTGAAGACAAATAAACCATCTTCGATAGATCGATTGTGCTAACGTTGTAGCTCTTAAGCTGTAATGTGCTTTTTCCTGTTTCTCGTTCTCTGTCTTCTGGTTTAGGATTTAAAGTTTGAATAAAAAAAGAGATAAAAAGAAAGAAACAAGAAGTAAAGAACACATTGTATAGATCAAGCTTTAGACTCGAGCGAGACCCAACTGAATCGTCGTCTTTCTTCAGAGACGAAAATAGAAGGAGCCGAATCGCCCGTGTTAGTTTTAACTAACGCCGTTGATCTTGAAAATGTTTCGCCCATTATTTCCGCGCGGAATTCTCGAGCATGGGAGCGAGATTTCATGACGTCTCGTGAGGCTTTGACACGTGGCAGGCGAGATATACACGCGAATTACGGTCTCGTGCGGAGTTTCATCGAAATTCCCGGCCATCGCACCGATAACGCGCCAAACTTTAATTAATGGCACGGCAGGACGCCTCTTATCGCTCGCAGACTGCGCCAACTGCTGCAGACTGGAATTTCAATGCGCGTAGGTTCAAGACTTCCTCATTCCATTCGAAAGAATCTCACTCGCAAAGTGCACCCGATTTTTATGATACATGACATATTTGTAGAGTGACCAAAGAAGTTAACAAAGTTAAATTTGCTATTTATTGAACAAAATGTTTTCATATATTTATTTCACTAAATAATAAATATTAATTTCAAATTGATTTCAAGGAATGGTGCAGATAAATCGCATGTGTAAAACTGTAACTATAAATGTTTTACTGCGAAAAATGTTATGTTAAATTCTTGTATAATTTTAAGCATTTTGATTTAAGGGAATAAACTCCTTAATGCACAATTTTTCATCTTTCCGCCATCAGTTAGTCGACTACTTTAGCACGTGGCACTGCGAAATGCCATTATACTAACTGCTAAGTCTCAAACATTCTTCTCTATTGTATTCTAGAGAGTCTCTAAGCAAAAAAGAAGGATCCTTAATACCTATCTGACCAATATGCCGATATAGTGTCTTAACACGCTCGACGATATGTGCACAACTCGAAATAGAATCTCAGGTATCTGCGTATTAACGGAAGGGTTAAATGCATATGTCGCGTTTCGGCAGGTCTAATCAGGGTTTATTTACGAAGTTCGACTTCCTTAACTATTTTTTTCCAATATCCCTCTTTTTATTAGAGAATTTTCTCAAGAAAATATATTTTTTTTTCTAGAACTAAACTTTTTCTAAAATTAATTTTTAAAATTTTATAAAGGCCACTTAGAATGCTCTCTTTTTTCGCCTGCCCCCTGCACTGAGTGCAAGAGGTAAACGATTATCGATAAGAATTCTCGAAGCGAGTCGGGAACTCATGTCATCCTTGAAGTCAGGTTCAAGGAAGGGAGAGCTTTCCTTCCTTATCATGGTTGAATTCCAAGAGCCGAAAAAAAGTACAAGATTAGTACTTCTATCCTTAAGGGACACTAATCTTTAACTTTGCACCTCTATATATATTTTGGTGGTAAACATTTTAACTGCGAAAGAACTATCTAGTAGCGTAGCCAACTAGTGGCTGTCGAGATCACTTTAAAATACTACGTGTTCTGCTGACCATATGATATACTGATCAAAAATATTTTGACGATCGATAAGGTAGCTTACGGATATATACATAATGTTTTTTAATTGTGATTACTCTACAAACATCCCAAGTTTCCTCAAAATCGAACGTGGATACTTCGCGGATATTTCTCTTGCATAAGATCGAAGTATATTAGATACTCTTTTTTCTAATTTGGAACACGCTGGTCGAAAACTCGATGGAACAAACACGCGTTAGTAAATATTTTTTTCCTACAGGCTTGTTAGCGAGGGACATCAAGCAGTGTACACACAAATCTACTGTAATGGGTGACGCGAACATAAATCATTCATCAATCACGTTGTGGCTCCGTGCGTGTGCGACACGACTGCATTCGTATGCACTGGTCGCATGACAATAAAGAAAACAGAAAGGTCGCGAATGCATTCTGTGCATTATCGCGGATCATTCGAGACGGTGCTTTCCTATCCGCGACGACCAAAAGATTTGGGTTGAAAGAATGCTGAAAAATGGCCAAAATTTGGCCATGATGGAAATGTATGAAATCGGTCTATCTTGATATTTTTTGGTCTGTTAAACTCGAATATAAAGCTTAAAATTGTCCAAACTACAGTGAAATATGTGAAAAAATATAATTTTCCTACACAAAAACCTCCTAATACAGCAAATACTTTTTTCTATGAAGGATTGGAAATTGTCAAAAAAAATCTTTTAATTAATTAAGTTGATTGTTTATATTAATATCTGTATGTTTAGCAGTTGGTTCTTAATCAGTAACGAATCCCGATTCAGCAATCTTCACGCGATGTATCTTGGATTAAATTAATGTTGACGGTGACAACAGAAACGTGCGTGCAAACCTATATATGTAATACATATTTACATACGTGCGTGCACGCATTTTTTAATGTCGTTATTCGTGATATAATTGAATAAATTTTTATCGCAAGTAAAAAAAATTAATTTAAATTTTTAGAAGTATAGGATAACAATAGATTTTCGGTTGGTAAGAGCTACGAGAGAACAGATCGAAGGTGGGTTGTTGATTAAGAACTTCAATTGCTAAAGATACAGACATTAATAAAAACAATCAACTAAATTAATTAAGGTTTTTTTATTGAAAATTACCAATCGTTCTGTTTCGGATTTGCCTTGAAAAAACGCCCGATCTATCGGAACCACCCAGCGAAGGGTGTGTAAACATACGTAAGAGAAGCAGACAGACATTTCGCTCATTGGCAAATTTTAACCCTTTTTCAGTATTGTTCTTTGAGCATTGGAAACAACGGTTTTTATCACAGGGTTTATTTATAAAGTTCGATTTCCTGAACAATTCTTCTTTCCATTCGATAATTTCCTTAAAAAAATACAATTTTTACTAACTTTCGGAATTTTATAAAGGCCACTCAGAATGCTCCCCTTCCCCTGCCCTTTGCACTGAGTGCAAAAGGTGAACGATCATCGATGACAGAGTTCTCGAAGCAAGTTAGGAACTCATGTCGTCCTCACGCTCAAGGAAGGGAGCTTTTGCTCCTCATCGTGGTTGAATCTACTTCCGTGTTAGGGAAGAAGTGCAAGATTAGCTACTACAGAAGTGATCCTGTGAAGCATGATCTTAACTTTGCGTCGAAAATGCACCTCTATATATATATTGGTGCTAAGCATTTTAACTGCGAGAGAACTATCTAGTAGCCTAGCCATCTAGCGGCTGTCGAAATTATTTCGGCATTCCTTATTTCCTGGCAGATGTTACGTGACCGAGGAAGTCGCAAAGTGAGAATCAAGGTGTGGTCTAACGAACATCACGTCGCGCGGACCGGTTACGGATGAAGGGTGCTCCCTAATAGGGCAACGTAGTCTCGAAGATTCGATAATAATTCATGGCGCCATAAATAATGCATATATGCGCCACATGAATTTGTGAAGCGTCGAGACGGCGGAGGCAACTCGCGACTTGCAGACTCGTGTTTGTCGTGCCAGCTTCCCTCCGAGAACAAGACAATAGGGCGAGAACACCCCCGGTCTCGAGTCGGACTTGCAGCGATTTGAAATTCTAAGGCCGCGTCCTTTAACCGAATACAGTTAGGTTAAACGGCGTAATCCCATCAGCGTTGTGCTTTAACGAGTCATCCCTTTGAATATCTTTAAGAAGTCGAACCCCGTCTAATCGCGTAACGGCATTTGCTTATTACTAGCGAATTAGAGTCGACAACATTTTTCTCACGTTAAATTAACAACGAGAACGATAGACAAATAGAATCGAAGACCGAATCATAATTAATCTTTCGGATTCGCGACCGAAATAAAATATCTTCACGCGCAATCGCCACAGTAATATTAACCCTTTGCTCTCTGCAATAAATTCAACGTTTTGTTCCAATCAAGTTGATAATAAAACACAAAGTTATCAATTTTAGAAACTAAAACTTTATAAAAAACAATGAATTTTACTATAACAAAAATCTAGTAATATTTTATATTTTACAGTTTAATAAATATTTACGTTAAATATACACTGTCAGAAAAGATATTTGAGACATAAAAATATTTATTCGGTGAGTGGTGTGCTAATAACATACATCTACTTATACTAACATGTATAAAATATAAATAAGAAAATATACATTTTCTTAAAATCTGAAATCTGAACAATGAAAAAAAATTTTGTTGTCGAAACTAAAATTTGGGACACCCAACGAAAATCTAATTAAAATAGAATCAATCAAATGTTTGGTGATTACAAACAGAAAATTCAATTTGCCACTTATGTGTTTTGCTTTCTCATACATTTTACTTGACACAATTAAAAAACATGGTAATGTTTTGTGAGCCAACCAAATCGTATGTGTACCAAATACTTTAGTTTTAAATACAAAAATAAGTTCTTCAGTGTAACTTTCCACAAAAGCAATTATTTATTCAATTTTGAAGAATTTTGATTTAAGTAAATATGCTATTAGCATTTATTGAATAAATAAATAATTTTTATTTCCCACATTTTTTTCTCAATGTAAACTTTAACACTCGAGCTGTTGGAGTCAAATATTCCATCGAGCATAATAGCTCAATTTCCACATGCTAAAGATCAATTCGAGAGCGCGTGAATACATGAAACGCATTTAAGCTGCGGCAAAGAGTCTGAGTCTTATGTGAATACTTCTTCATATCCGCGCCCATAGTCTTCACGCGCGGACAGAGCGTCATATCATTGGTGCAATAATCGTGTCTGATATTTCCGCATGTGGCGTGTCACGCGTGCACGGTTGATTCATGCTGCGTAACGTTGGAGGGTGTGCTTGCAAGTTAATAGAGCAATAAATATACGACGGGCGAAATGCAATCTCCGGTGGAATAGATTATGCTATACGCTTCGCGGCGACGTCCCTTGTCATGTGCCTCAGCCGCGTGCCATCGATTCTTTTCATGATTAACCGGAGGGATGTCTTAATTGGAAACTTCATAAGTTTCTGATTGTCGCTCGAAAACTTGTTTAACGCTTGTCGCGTGAAACAGAATGAAAGAACGGACGTGTAGCGTCATTTGCGGTTTGACGACAAGTCGATGCATTACCTTTTCCTCTTTTCGTTAAAATTTCGCTATTTTTTTTCTTGTTCTTCTGCATGTATAGATGTGTTCGCAGAATAACATGCAACGTGCAATTGTCGCGACACCGCCGCCGATTCATGGGAGCCGTGTCTATGACGGAACACCTTAGAAGATAGTAATGGGCCCACGGGGTGCACCGAAATAGCGGTCGGCTAAATATAACTCGCGCGGCTCGGTGCGGCCGAGTCGAGGGAGATAAATGGGCTACTCGCGGCGACTATACCTGAAAGCCGCAAAGCGCGGTTCGCAAAAGTTCATTGCTTCCTACTGCCGGATTCCGGGTCAGCGCGCGTCCCTCCTCCGCCCTAGGCGTCCAAATCCGTCCGACGTGAGACACACGTGGGAAATGGGAGAGAACGAGACGTGGCGCGCTGTGCGAGCAACAAGAGACGGAAATTCGACCTTGCGATTCCTTCGTGCACGCGCGATCACACGCGCTGGAAAAAGCATGAGCTAATTGCGCATCTCGGTCACTTTGAACTCCGCACAGACTTCTCGCACTGCTCGCCGTTGATTTATCGGTGCAACGATACCTACGATGTGCCGTGTGAAAAATAGAGTAACGTTAAAATCGACACGATAAACACGACAGTGACTGTAGCTTCGTACACGGAAAAAACAATATGGTTGATCCATACAGAAATCTGGTTGTGCCAACCAGATTCAATAGTAAAATACGGAACAAATATTTATGTGGTTGTTGTAACCAAAGAGCAATGGCTGAGTTACTTATGTTGCAGCGGTGATAATACATGGTTAATACAAACGCGGCTTACGCGACAATTACAAATGTATATTTATACACTCAGAATCAGTTTTCACATGTATACATCTCTAGCTGTGCGCGTAGTGAATTGCTTTTGTTTTCTAACATCGCTGCTTTGCAATATAGCATTGATTAATGCAACTATATCGATATTTAGCTTGTCTATGCAAAATGATCCCCTTACTAATTTCTGGTTGCCACAACTAGATCACGCGCAACTTCAAAGTAAGTCAAATCAACCATACATATTACTATTATACAAAGATATGTAGAATGATGCAGCTATTTGCTTACAACTAAATATTTTTTGTTAGGTGCACCACATCTCTTTTTTCCGTGTAGGAATCTCTGACGCAATGCGTTCCGAACAACTAATTGAAAATGTGCCTGATTAAGTCACTTCGATAAATTACCTACTATAATTAAGGGTAATATTACACGTATCGCGGCAATAGAGTGTCATCGTGTGGCATTTTATGCGCGGTTTATGTACAACTCTTACCGTGTAAGGAGCAGTGAATCTCGGAAGAGATAAAACCAGCTGGAAATTTCTAACTAACTCTAAAACGTGTAATTCGAACATGCGTAGCGACTCCGCGAAATCAAATGACACGGCTCTTTAGATGTCGTAACGTACCGTGCGACCAAGCAGATTTACAAACACTAACCATTAATGTCACGTCGGCAATCGTAACTGCTATAATAAAATAAACGAATTAAGTGAAATTAGTTGTTATATGTGTGTGTCGAACGATTGGAGAAACTTGCGAATGTCATCTCCTGAGTTGCACTTCGAGTTGTGCGGTGCAATTTGATATTACAATAGTAATTTAAATTAGTTTAAATTTAAACTCTGCTAAAAAAAACACATTCAACATACATTGTTAGATTGCCCAACCCCTTAAATAGTATAGCCGAAAAAATTTCGTGATGATATATTCAATTTCTTTTGATTTACTTAAACTATTGTATTTTTTTATTCTGTTTTAAAAATCCTTTTCCCAAAGAAGATAATAATAAAGAGAAGAGAAATTTAAAGAGGGATATGATTATTTTAAAAATTTCCCCATCTTGAAAAGAATCGCGCAATTATTTTAAATCACCACTAAAGAGGCTAAATTTAAATCTAACTATTCTTGAAAAATCGACTTTCAGCTTCTCATATTTTTATCATCCATATTCTTTGTTTATGTCGCAACACACATCGGGACACTATGCGAATTTCGGCATGCAACATGTTGAAAGCAACACGCACGAAGATGAGATCTCGAAGGCGCGCGCCTTTCCAGAAGATATTACATTCTCAGGCACAGGACATTCGTCTGTCCCTGTTGGATCGGCGTGGTGCTACACAGTGACATCGATGTATCCAAGTCCCATGATATCGAGACATCGGGGAATGGTCCCGCCGCCACTGTCGGGGCGCGTTACCAGTTTGAACGTCAAACTGGTTTCACTTTCCTTCCGTCGTGTGAAACCGCGCGATCAGGACACGATATCGCGCCGAAGATACCTGCTTATCGTGGATCTGCGCCTCTCTTCCATCCCATCGAGAAGAGACCCGGCGCGAAGGGAGGCATCGTGCATCGTCACGTCGGATCCCTATCGAACTATTAATGCCTCGGCCACAATAAAGCGCGCGCGCACGAGCGGCGAAACCTCCACTTGTCCGGATATGAAAAATAAATAATTAAGGATTCTCTCATCGTGATCGTTTTCTCTCTCTCTCTCTCTCTTCCTCTCTCTTATTCGACCCATGGAAGCTATTCATTATTAAGAAGATTAAGCCGTTCGACCAACCCCCATCCTCGCCCTCCTGTCCACCTTAGAATCACTAAACAAACGATCCAGGATTCCCTCCCACCCTCTCTCTCTTTCTCTAATACCCACGTGCTGCTTTTCGATTTACATACTTCCGATAAGTTATTCCGGGCTCATGGGAGATATATAAATCCCGACTCGTTCCCGTTGACATAATGTATACTTGTGTACCACGATAATTGGAGAGGCGCCGCCTACGCCTACGCAAAAGAAAAAGAACGATATCAATAATCCTCCCGATCGTCCCTCCTTCGGCAGAGCGTGGCGCCGTGCAGATCGAGATTTATGAGAAAAATAGGAAGTCGAATGAATGTTGTTCGCGCACGATTTTCGCACGATCGCCGTGGGAGGATAGTAATTAACCTTGCAGTTTTACTAGTAGATTAGTTGGGCTGAAGTGCGCGGATAGATTTGTGTGGGAGAG